TGCTTGCCAGGCAGGCACCAGGCCACTGAGCTACATCCCAGCTTGGAATGCCTTTCTATTAATTTTATTTTCTTTATCCTTGTTTTTAAGTCCTGGGGATTGAACCCAGGGCCTCTCACATACTAGGAAAGTGTCCTACCATTGAGCCACCCGTCCAGCTTTTTTTGATATTTTGTTATATGGATGCAGTATAATGTAATGCAGCATAAGTCCTCTATTCAGGAGAATCTATGTCATTTCCAATTTTTTATGTTGAAAACAATGTTTTAGTGAATAGTCTTATGGATATCTACTTTTGAACATGTGTCTTGGTTACTTTTCTCTCTTTGCTGAGACGAAATACCCAACGCCCAAAATTAAGGAAGCAAAGGTTTATTTAGCTCCCAGTTTGTGGCGATTTCAGTCCATAATCAGAGGGCTTCAAGGCAGGGTGGCAGGGCACAGGGGCAACACTTCAAGGCGGCACAAGACAGCAAAAGCAGCAAGAGCAGAAAGGGGGAGAACAAGCCTCTTTTCCTCCCTTGTACGGTAAGCAGGCTACCTGCACCCAGGGAGTGTGCAGCACTCACATCATCTCCACGCCCTCCTCTTGCACAGGCTCAGGATGAATACAGAGTAAGCACCCTGGCTTCCTGCTGAGTCCCTTATTTAATCTTCTAAACGTCTCAAGTTAACACAAGGAACAACATTCTAGAGCAGGAACAGAATGTTCTTTTTACCCCAGGATGTAGAAATGCTGAGTGACTTAGTTGAGTGTCTAGACTCCTCAAGTTGACACAATGTATCAACCATAACAGCATGTTGCCAGGCGTGGTGGCACACACCTATAATCCCAGCACTCAGGAAGCTGAGGCAGGAGGATCCTTGTGAGTTCGAGACCAGCCTGGGCTACAAAGTGACCTCAAGGCCAGCCTGAACTGCATAGGGAGACCCTGTGTCAAAAAAGACAAAAAAACAAAACAAACAAACAACAAAAAACAACAACAACAACAAAAAACCCCCAGCAAAAACAAAAAACCATAACAGCATGTGGGGGCTGGGGATTTAGCTCAGCGGCACAGCGTCTGCCTGGCAAGCAAGAGGTCATGAGTTTGATTCTCGGTACCGGAAAAAAACCAAACCAAACCAAAACAAAAAAACCATAACAGCATGTAAAGTATGTCTACTGGATAATTTCCTGGTGGTTAAATTTCTGGATTAAAGGATATATATATTTAAAAAAAGGATATATATATTTTAAAGTTTCATAGATATTTTCAAAGCATTATGATTTTGACATAAAATAGGGTTTGTGAAGGTGTTTAAAGTATGAGCATATTTACTCATGTGATTTATTCCCTTAGAGGTAATTTATCTTGTCTTTCTCCAAAAATAAGCCAATTCACAAGTTCCACATTTATTGTCAAGAGTCTGAGAAAGAGTTCTCTGATGATTTCTGTGAAACTGAAGAAAAATTTGAAAGACATTTGTTCCAGTATATTTTTTCTAATTTGCTATAATGAGAACCCACAGAAAATCATTAAATGTGATATTCATATAAATATATTAGTAAAACTTTGTTAGCCATTTCTTTTATTTTTTTTATTTTTTTCCAGTACCTGGAATTGAACTCACGACCTTGTGCTTGCCAGTCAGGTGCTTAGCCATTTCTTAAAGTCAGAGGAATTTTCTTTTGAGTCATAAATATAGTGATTTAGTTTATATAGTTATACTTAGTTATTTTACAGTTTTTTTTTGGTACCAGGAATTGAACTCAGGACCTTGCACTTGCCAGGTAGGCACTTGTGCCAGTTAGCTGTATCCTGGCCCAGTTAGCTTATATTTTTAAAATTCTGACTGTCCTTGTTAATATATTTTTGTATTTGTGGAATTTGTCATTTAAATCTGTTTAGTGTTAAGAAGATCTGTTATCAATGGCTATTTTAAAAATAAAAAAGAGGAGGTATATATATATCCATATATATATGGAGAGAGAGAGAGAGAGAAGAGAGAGGCTTGATGTACAAAAAATAGGAAGTCAGGACCAACCATCTCTACTTTAAAAATTCCAATACATCTGGGCGTGGTGGCCCATATCTGCAATCCCTGCAATCTGAGAAACTGAGGAGGAGGAGGATCCTGTGTTCAAGGTCAGCCTGGGCAACATAATGAGATGTCATCTCGAAAACAAAACAAAGGGGACCTGTCAAGTGCAAGGTCCTGAGTTCAATTTCTGGGACCAAAAAAAGAAAAAGAAAAAGAAAAACAAAAAAAAATTTCCAATTCCTATTAAAATAATGGCACTTAAGAGGCTAAGGCATGAGATACTTGGGAGGCTGACAGGAGGATCACTGTGAGTTTGAGGCAGTCTGGGCTACATAGTGTATTCAAGACCAGTCTGAACTAGATAGCAAGACCCTGTCTCAAAAAAAAAAGAAATTTTTACTATTTTTCCATAATGAATTCTGTTTTATGTTTTGTTGAAGTAGATTTCCTTTCAAATTAACTGCATTTACCAAGGGGGAATACAATCCCTGTAAATTGTGTTTAAGAAATATTTATTTTATTTTATTTTTTAAATAATTTTTTGGTCTTTTTTTTTATTGAGACATGGTCTCACTAAGAAGTTCAAGCTAGTCTTTTTTTTTT